ACAGTGAGTCTAAGCTGTTGATCATGTTCGACTTGATGAACCTCAAAGTTGTAACAAGGGAAAGGTTTCTAGTGGCAAACTCGAGAGCGCTCCAAAAGAGGTGGAGCACGACCTTGTGGTGAATTTCTTCACTTTTCACCCTCTTCTGTCGATCCAGTCCCTGGAGGATTCTAGGTGTGGTTGTCATGGAACCTGAGCTTCTCAACTGCAGTAGTGGCTTTGTTCAACCAGGGCGTACGGATGGAGTAGGAAACAAATTACAGACGAAACTGACGGCGGACCGAGTTGAAGTGGTCCGTCCACCGTCGGGGACTCCATCCCCTCCCCAACATTCAGCATACGGTCCCAGCCGAAGCGCCAAAAGGGCTGGTTTGCTTACGTCCTACCTCCACCCCGTCTTCCCCTTCTCTATCTTACCTTTATAATAAATATGTATAGCCAATATGTTCTATATCACAAACCGCTACACACCTTCAGATTAAGGCCTCGCGAACCTATAATCTGATACCACAACAAGTCAGAGACTGAAAAAACAATCAGGTTAGAAGGTGATAATGACCTCTCGATTATTCCGTGTTCATCCTACAATAGTTCCTAGTTCTTAGCTCCTATTCTGCCCTCCTGTTCGAAGATACAACTCATGGCCCACTACACGAGCGATGTCAGCTTTATAAATTATTCCAAAAATCCAACTCAGAAACACAACTGAAGCCAGTTTGTGTTAATATTTCCAAATTAAAAAGGTTGTGCATTTCATTCTAGCAGTGGACAACACATAGTGGGTTGCTGAACCAAGAATGTAGGAAATAACAGGTCTTACCTGAACAACACTGGACCGTTAATGGGAAGTGCGGTCAGATCTAAAATACCAGGACCACGAAGAGGACCAGCAGTGAGTACAGCAGTGGCACGAGTGAACAACTCAGCAAACCTGCCCATCACAACAGCGCTGTATACCGGCTAAAATTCGACGTGAAAATAGAATAACGACCAAAACCGAGGAAACTAAAAAAAAACTGTAGAAACCTGCAGATTGGTTGCATATTGCGAGCAGTAGTCCTTCATTGTGCCGTCCCAGTCAGTGATCAAAAGTGGTTTAATACCCGTGTCAGCAGAATCGACGAATCCCATAAGGAACCTGATATGAAAAGTTCGTCAAATATTTTACTGAGAACAGACCCTTCAGCTGGTAGAGATCCTGTTACACCAACAATACGTAATGGACCTTAGTGGACCGGTTTACCTGACAACGCTGTGGGTGCTAGTTTAATACGGAGAGGGGGCCTATAAGGATGAAAGTTGTTCAGGCTTCTTAAACAAGCCTGTGACTCCAACTTAACATACATGTTGATTGGTTTTCAGATGTGTATATAAACTAGGAAATTCAATACAGTCTAAACAAAAACAAGATTGACAAGCGAGATTATAAAAAAGATCGGATTTGCTTTTGTTTAGTAGCCGAAACTTTCACATAGCTTGTTGGATAACCGAAAATCGCACATAGCTAAATATATTAATTTTTCGAGGATAGCGCTGATAGAATATAGGGCAGGGATAGCCGAGTGGTTAAGAGGTTAGACTCATGTCTGCACCTCTGAAAACCGCGAGTTCGATCCCTGCCGAGGTTAACCATGCCTTGCAAAAATTGCAAAAATGGTTCTAGTACCAGCGTCAGGCCCAGGTTGACAGGCCGGCTGATGAAGACCCCAGTCACACCAAACATGTCTGTCGCAAAAGAATCAGTGATAAAGCTAGGACGTCACCCGGAAGTGGCGCGCAGAACCCCCGCCCGAGTTCTGTGGTCAGTATGCGAGGGCTACCGAGGAGTGAACGGCCTCGGCCAAAGAAGCTAGTTCGAATTGGAACTGTGAACGTAGGGTCGCTAACTGGAAGGTCCCGAGAGGTTGCTGATCTGATGACGCGCAGAAAAATTCAAGTCCTATGCCTTCAGGAGACGCGATGGAAAGGTGCTAAGGCCAGGGAAATCGGAGAAGGTGTCAAACTCTACTACAATGGGGAAGACACCAAGCGGAACGGTGTGGCCATAGCGGTAGCGGAGTCGCTCAAGGACTATGTCTCCGCTGTGAACAGGATCAGCGATCGGATCATGGCTGTGAGGATAGACACGAAGGAGGGGTACTGGACCATACTCTCTGTGTACGCACCGCAAGCCGGATGCCCCGAAAGTGACAAGGACGAGTTCTATCTCAGCCTTGACGATGCCATCAGAACGATTCCGGAAGGTGACTACCTCACCATAGCAGGTGATCTGAATGGTCACGTAGGCAGTGAAAGAAGAGGCCTGGAAAGGGTGCACGGAGGTAGAGGAATAGGAGTGAGGAACGCCGAGGGAGAGAGGGTCCTGGACCTGGCTACGGCCCACGATCTGGCAATCTGCAGCACGTTCTTCGCGAAAAGGGAGACTCATAAGGTCACCTACACAGCAGGACGACAACGGAAATCGACCATGTGCTGGTAAAAAGATCATCCCTCAGAACTGTGAAGGACGTCAAGGTACTCCTGGCGAAGAGCTGGCTCCTCAGCACAGGCCCCTCCTGGCAGACATAGCCATAGACCTTCCCAAGAAGACAAGGGTAAGAACCGAGAGGAGAATCCGGTGGTGGAAGTTGCACCGAGCAGAGAAGAGCGACCTCTCAACGCGAAGGATAATGGAAGTTGGTCTCCCAGATCCTGAGGGACCAGTGCAGCAGGCTTGGGGCACTGCAGCTGAGATCATCCTACGATGCGCCAAGGAGGTACTGGGAGAGACGCGAGGTGGATTCAGAGGAGACAAGGCAGCGTGGTTCTGGAACGAGGAGGTCCAGCGAGTCGTGAAGCAGAAGAAGGAAGCATACAAGCGCTGGCAGAAGACCCGGAGCCCCGAAGACCTCTACCTACAAGAGTTGCAAGAGGCTCGCTAAGGCCGCCGTAGCCAAGGCAAAGAACACGGAGATGGACGCCTTGTACGAGAAGTTGGAAAGCAGAAACGCAGAGAAGTTCGTCTTCAGACTGGCCAAAGCCCGGCATCGGGCTACTCAAGATATCAGGGTGGTGAAGAGCGTGAAGAGCAACAACGGCGCCATACTGAGGAAGCCAGCCCAAGTTCGGAGGAGGTGGGAAGAGTACTTCAGAGGTCTTCTGAACGAGGAGTTCTCCCACGAGAACAACTCACGGGCAGAGGCCACAGCTGGTCCCATCGCACTCTGGACAGAGGATGAGGTTCGGCGTGCACTTGGGAAGATGAAGGTTGGAAAGGCAGTTGGTCCGGATGGAGTACCCATAGAGGCTTGGAAGGCCCTGGGAGAGCACGGGGTGAGGTGGCTCACCCGCTTCCTGAATACGGTGACTGCCGAAGGAAGGATGCCGGATGCCTGGAGAACAAGTACTATCGTCCCCATCTTCAAGCAGAAGGGTGACGCGATGGACTGCTCCAACTACCGCGGCATCAAGTTGACTGCGCATACCATGAAGTTGTACGAGCGCCTGGTCGACTCGAAACTGCGGGACCTTGTCCAGATCTCCCAGGAACAGTTCGGGTTCATGCCCGAAAGGTCTACAACGGATGCCATCTTCATCGCTAGGCAAGTGATGGAGAAGTATCGCGAAAAGCGCAGACCTTGCTACCTAGCCTTCCTCGACCTGGAGAAGGCGTTCGACCGGCTACCGCGAGCAGTGCTATGGAGGTCGCTTAGGAACGAAACGTGCCAGAACACCTCATCTCTCTCTGGTGAGGGACATGTACGAAGGAGCCAAGGCAGCTATACGCACCCCATACGGCCTAACGAAGGAGGTGGACATCACGGTCGGGGTGCACCAAGGGTCAGCTCTGAGCCCGTTCCTCTTCCTCCTAACACTAGATGGCCTGGTGAAGGGGCTCATGGAGGGACCACTGAAGACTATCCTCTATGCTGACGACGTCGCCTTGATAGCTGATAGTAGAGAGGAACTTCAAGCCAAGGTGCAGAAATGGCAGAAAGTCCTGGCAGAAGGTGGGCTCCGGTTTAATGTCAAGAAGACCAACTCCCTGAGCTCCGAAGAGGGTGCAGAGCCGTCGTGGACAGCTATGGTGAGAGCACCGAAAGGGTGGAGGACTTCCGATACCTTGGGAGCGATCTGGCAGCTGATG